TGTACTCTTGTTGAGATTACATCACATATATCCTTGTTGGGAATGTTACCATAAGTTTTCTTATTAAGATTTCTACCATATGTTTTCATAGGTTCTTCAGATTTCCCAAAGTCTGATTCACACGCGTCGTACATCATAACCTTATGATCTATTTAAAACGTATAAACCATAATTTTCTTGTCACGGTATACAAACTTTTCGGAAACACCAATTAGATTCTATTGGGTACTGAAAACGTCGTAAGCGAGTTTAAATAACTTACCATTTGCTTGAATATCGCTAGAAAAAAATTTAAATAGAGAAGACTGAAAACAAACAATCACGTAATGCATAGTAATTTTATAGTCTACGTAGATTTATATTACAAATTAATTCAATTATTATATGACTACGAAAAAAAAAATAAAACAAAGTCATAAAAAAAAAAAATTAAAATTACGATCATATGGGAAAAAATTGAGCAGAATATTCTATGCACACTGCCAACGCCCATCGATACCATCTCTACTTAGGTACAAACGCACACAGATGACCAATATTTTAAATATTTAATCATATAAAAATTATTGATTTGTTACAGTGTAAACATTGAGAGTGAGTTTAAGTTTGTAGGTACACGCTTTCATTACAATATTATCTTTGCACTAGAATTGCTGCTAACGATTCTGTAGGCTTCCAAAAATTCGTTAAAATTGATGTGACCATCGTGATTTCTGTCCAGCAGTTTGATGAACAGATCAATTTTCTCTTTCATATCTTCTTGTTTTTCTGGCAGAGTGCAGAGTCTTGAACACGCCTCTTGAAATTCCTGCTGTGATATCGAACCTAAAATAAAATCAAAATGTTAGGTATATTTTTTGAAAGCTTGAAAATTTTAAGATTATTGAAATTTTGATCTCGCATGTAGAAAAAGATCTGTTACAAATTTTGATACATTGTAAAAAGTTCCGCAAATTTGTTAAAACATTTGTTCAAGCATTTGGCTACAAAATGTAGCAAAACAAATCGTAGCCCACAATAAAGCTGAAAATTGAAATTACTTATTTTATAACGCTTGTTATATTCCTAGCTTACATCGTGCTTCTGTTAGACTCTAGGTTGATTACAAACTCGTTAAACAGATTCAAAACTCTTAGTGGTCTTTAACGTATAGCACCCAAAGAGTGTACAATTTATGTGTTATGTTTTATACTCATATTTGTAAAGTTACTATTGTTTTTAACAATTGCTATATCATAGCAGGCCAAAGTAGCAAGAAAAAAAAAACAAACCTGAACCATCCAAGTCCATATCTCTGAATATTTCTTCTAGTACATCTTCATTTTCATACAATCTACCCTCCTCAACAGATGCCAGGTCAGCTTTCTGATCAACTTTTGACACATGACTGCAGTCTACAAACATTTTTTCGTAACTTATTAACCCAGCGTTTGTTACGTCAACCAATAATGGAGCCAAGTTGGCCCACGGAAGGCCCTGTTTAATGGTTCGTTCAATGTTCAAGTGCATATTTCCAGCTTAGTGAATTTTGAAAAATATTAACAAAATTTATCAAAAAGTTTAGCAAGGAATTTAGTGCATTAATAACATAAATTTGATTTTAAACTTTTAGAACTAACTGTCATTATTTCTTCATTCATGACGGTTATCCACTCGGAGAGTTTTAACGAGCCTGATGAGTTAAATTAACAATTGAAGAACTTTTCAATAAATTAGAGATATTTTGTAAAAAAAACGATTAGATTATAAAATTAACTTTAGGTTAATGAACCAATTAAGTTTTTATAAAAATAACAGATTTCAATATTGATCTGACTTAATTGGGTCTTACCGATATTTGTTTCTAAACATTGGAATCGTTTCTTCAGGATATCTTGTTTTTTCAGTATCTTTATTTTCAAATCTCTGATGGCAGCCGTCTCTATGGAATTGACTCTTGAGTTATTTAATTTTCATGCTATTAATTATTTTATTTTATCTTTTAGAAGATAGTTTGAGAATAAGTGATAAATAAAAACGTCTATTTTTAAAAAGAACAAACTTATAAAACACTACACTAATTGGTTATAGAAACGGAATAGGTAGATTAAAATAAAATGTATTGCAAAAATTAAAAAACTATCGACGAACTGTTTTCTAAAAGAGAAATGCTTCTGTAGTTTGTTGTTGATTACAATGAACTGGTAGGGTTTTATTTGAGAATCAGGCCAAACGATGATGAATGCCCCTTTGTTACTGAATGGACTATAATAGTTGGACACTGAGAATACTGTTACGGTCTGTTGTGTTTGTTTTACGTTATTCAATTGATTAACAATTGATTAACATTTATTCATTTGTTTGCGGATTTTATGACTGAGGGACTGGCTGCCCATAAAAGATGCCATGCTTGTTTTTGTTCCCCTTGTCACAAACTGTCACAAATTTTCAAACCTCTCACCCTTTTGAAAGTTGTCATTTTGCCGCGGGCGACAAAAAAATTATCATGCAAAATATCAATATCACGAATAACGATTGATAAATGAAAACCATCGTAGCGTTAAATACAACTAACCACGAACATAATTTCTTTAATGAAATGAAAAATTTCGAAAATAAAGCTACAAAGAAGCAATTTTTTGAATCGTACTGAACACATGCAAATTTATTTTTGCCTTTTTGCCAGAATGTTTTCAAACAAAAAAAATGACAAAGTTCAAAATATCAGCTTTTACTCAACTTTCCCTCTTGCAAATTTTTTGACCTCGTGACATTTTTCATGGTCAGCCCATAATATTCGTAATTTTAAAATAGAGCTATCCTATAAAATTACAGCTATATCATTAATTCGTTTTAATTTTTTTATTTCAACTGACATATTTTTTTCATTGATAAATAAAATTTTAATTTGAAGTTTCTGTTCCAAATAATACTATTAAACCTTGTCGTCGTGTTCATAAGCGAATCCGTTTGGTATGCATTCGTGAGATCTTATCAGAACATTCCAGTTGTTCTCGTCCAGAAAGGACTTAGTCACGTCTGATCCGTACATTACTCCAAATCCTTCATTATATTATTTTGTAAATTTTACATGTTGGTTATGTTCACGCACATACAATTTATTTAAACATATAAGCGTTGAAACATTATAATTGTTGTAAGATGATAGCTGAACCGCAACAAAAAATGCCGCCTCCCACCCCTCTTCTTGTTGTGTTGCAGTCCAGGGCCAGGCATGGGATCACTCCAGAGCAAGTCACACAACTACAAACAATTTATTATTCAAGGTAAGTTTTCATTTTTTGGCGTAAAGGCAATATTTAATTTTTTCCTAATTTTTTTAACGTCCAATGTTTTATAATGAGAAATATAATTTTACCATTTCCCATTGTTGGATGAGTGTCGATGACCATGATCCGTCTGGTAACTTCAGCAGTGTCTGAAACTGAAGGTTCAATTATTTCACTATGTTTCTCTTTAACATTTTCAGGTTACTTAATCCTTTTAAACGGAATATATTTTAAATTCTAGTTAATTGTTTCTTCAAATCAAACTTTTGAACTTTTTGTAATTCTACATGCTACAACCAATTTTATCAAAACAAAATTTGCATTTAAAAGTCCAGGTTTTTTCTAAAATAATTATTTTATTTCTTTTATTGATGTCTTGCCGCAGAAAATTGCAAAAAATTAAATCATTCATTATCGGTAGTGACCGCATAGTATAAAGAAACATAGGAAGAAAAACACTGCTAATGTCACCTTATTTCTCTCAATGTTCATCAACTTTTCATAAGTTATCTTCCTGGAGATGCCTGCGTGGCAGACGAATATTTTGTTGTTGACGACGGAGGCGAGGGGCAGCCAGGCGAAGACATCGTTCACAAGGTCCAGGATGATGTCGGCGTGATTCTGCTCAGTGGACATTTTAAAAAAATGGCTTGTAATACGTATGTGCGATTGTAGAGTAAGAGTTAGAAATAGTGTCAAAAAAGTTGGAGATTTGTGTTTTTTTCTCTAATGTTTATGAGTACTTTTAAATTGTTGAGTATATGTACCTACCCAGTTTTTATTTACAATGTATTAATTGATAACTGTTTTATCTAACTCGTAGCCAGTAAAAATCTGCGCGCTTTTTCATCATGAGGCTAAGTTTACTAAGATTGTAGGATGGATTATTTTGCTGATAGATAGATTTTGATGGAGAATTTTTTGCATTTTTTGTGATATTATGTGTCTGCATGCCCCTGCACGCTCTCAAAACAGAAATTGTGTTCTCCGGAAAATTATTCAAGAACAACAACAGATGATCAATGACTCGATCCATAATTTTTTTTAAATCTTCATTTATTCCATCCATGCGGGCTGGAGGTTGGAGAGGCAGACAAGTTTATTGACCGCTGAACAAACAAATGATTTTGTGGACAAATTAGAAAATGAAAAAATGAAAATTTATAAACAAGAATGGAAGAATGAATAGTTGAATGAATGAACGAAAAAATGATAAATACAAATTAAATTTTTAATAAAATAATAAAAAAGTGACCAAACAATTAAATGTGCCGACCAAATGCTTGCATCAATGAACTAATTAAATGGTTATTTGATAAATAAAATAAATGCGTCGTTGATTTACTTTGTATTTTCTCTGAACTTCCTTTTGAAAACCATACCTGCGTGATAAAATTTCAACTGTTACAACTTTAAAATACATAAAAAAAATGTTTACACTCAGATTATTCAAATCTATCGCAACAAGAAAAATAACGAAAAAAATTATGAAATTTCAAGTTTTGCAACATCAAAATACCTCAATAAATTGTTTACACTCAGTTTATTCAAATCTATCGCGATAACAAAACGTAAAAATAATCAATTACAATGAAGTGAAGAGTGCAAAGATACAGACTTGATGTTGATGATGAAATCTTCGTGGTTGCCCCTATTGAGGAATACGCAGTTCGGTTCGTAGAGAAGAAACAAGCAAAGTAGCAGCAGTACTTCCACGCCGCTTTCACCCCTGTCCACGAAATCTCCATTGAACAAGTACAACAGACCTCGACAGGGTAGGCCGTTCTAAAAATCAATAGTTGTTTGTTGTTTGCTCGTTCGTTCGTTCGCTTGTTTATCCCCTCGTTTGATTTTTGTTCACAGTCATTCAATTATTTATATTTTATTTACACATTCATTCGTTTATTCATTTCATTACCCGATTCCTTTTTCCATCCTTCCGTATGTTTATCGCACTTTATTTATTAACTTTTTCCCTTGCCTCATGAATCTTTCTCTCTCTCTTTTCATCCATTCTTTCAATCCTCTCTCTCTCTCTCTCTCTCTCTCTCTCTCTCTCTCTTTCTCTCTTCATCCATTCTTTCAATCATTCGTTTATTTATTTATTTTCGACTGAACTACATTTTATACATTTAATCAATCAATCATTTGTTATTTGTTTATTTATTTAACATTTATATATTTATACAAATTTCCCAATAGTTCACTAATAATTTATTTGGTATAGAACACTTTGTTTGTGTGTGTGTGTATGTGTGTGTGCGTGTGCGTGCGCGAACTTTTCTCAAATATTTTTAAATTTGAAAACAACCCGACGACGGTAAGACTAGATGAAGGTAAAGAGTATAAAATTAGAATGACGACGACGACAATGTTTTTATTAATGTTGATTGATTGTGAAAACTGGAATGCGTATGATCATTTTGTGCTAATAATCCATACCTCATTCCCATCTACCTAGTCCTACCTGCATACTGATATCTCCACGCAGGCAAGTTCAAATACATTATTCATACATTAAAAAGCCGATTATACAAATATGTGTCTCATCTATGTGTATTATACCTTCGTGTGTAGACTTTTGCGTATTTCTCTGTTTCGCGTGCTCATACGCACGTGAGACGCATTTATTTATAGCGTAAATTGCGCATAGAACAGCGCTTACGAAGGAGGAAAATTGAGACTTCGTTAAAATAAAATTTTAAAATGTTAGTAAGGGTGTGATGTTTTTGTTGCTGTTGTCTACTCGTGTGCTTTCCATCACTGCATTATTCTTTGTATGGAAGTTTAATTGCTTCCTGTTGCAATGGAAATAACAAACGCGTGTAGAAGTTTTTCACTTTAAATATGCTGGAATTTATTATCTACGTTGATTCTGTTGAACCTGTTTGACGTCATCGCGTCAGGGAAATGTGTTTTATAACTAAACTACTGTTCCAAGCTGCTTGTAATCAACATTTAAAAGGTCTTCTCAACATATTTTACATCATTCCTGTTACTATTTGTAGTGATGCGTATTTCAAATTTTCAGCCAACAAACAAACAGCCTCTTCGACGACCAACGTAACTACAGCTAGCATAATAGAACAATAGAACAGCTTACGGCAAAAGTTTGATTAACGGCATGATCATAAATTTCTGAAAACTAAAAGAAACGTACTGTACATTTGTTATAAATCAACGCTGATACTTTAGCAAGAGGACCACGAGCAGTTGGGTAGGAACTATAAAATGCACCCTTTAAAGTCACTATTTCATTTTAGATCGATTTTGATAAACATTTAGAGTTCATTACAAGTGCGATTATCTTGGTTAAATTTTGTAAGATAAACAAATAATAAATAATAAATCGTCAAAATGATAAAAATGCTGGTTAGTTAATGAATGATGAAATGATGAACGTGATAGTTTAATTGTTGGAAAAACTCAAATACTTCAACACATACTACGTGCCTAATTCACACTTATTCACTTTTGATATGTGGTTGATGTGGCTGTTGTGGTTGATGTGGCTGTTGTAATTTATGTGGCTGTTGTAGTTGATGTGGCTGTTGTAATTTATGTGGTTGTTGTAGTTGATGTAATTTATGTGGCTGTTGTAGTTGATGTGGCTGTTGTAATTTATGTGGCTGTTGTGGTTGATGTGGCTGTTGTAATTTATGTGGCTGTTAAGGTTGATGTGGCTGTTGTAATTTATGTGGCTGTTGTAGTTGATGTGGTTGATGTGGCTGCTGTGGCTGAAGGAAAGAGGATGAATTATTTTATTTAAAAATTTGAATTTTGTTTGCAGTTAAAAACTGGCGCCGAAAAGCATCAGGCATATTTTCGCAAACATTAATCAATAATAATCTGTTGTTGTGGAAATTTTCAGTGTTGTGTATATACTGTAAAACAACGACATATTTGCTTGAATAAGTGTGTGTATGTATGACTGTGTGTATGTGTGTGTTTGTGACTGTGCAAAAAAAAAACAAGTCCGTATGTGTGTGCGTCTGTGTGCATGTGTGTATAAGTATATATGTGTGCGTGCAGATCTAACTGTATACACAATGTTTGTTTGTTATTATAATTTATTTAGCCACACCGCCTCCCACCCAGCATTCACCCATCCACATTTGACCAGTGATCACGTTAATTTCGTTTATTTGTTAAATAAATAAATATGGCGATATTATTCAGGAACAGCGTACATCCTAATCTGAACCGACACTATAAAAGAACATCCACTTTCCAGGGAATTAGCATATCGAATGTTTTTCCATGTTTTCACTTGTTATTTGCCTGCCCGCTTCTTCCCATACTGTTTGACAGATTTATGTAATTATATTTTTTACGTGAAAGCTATCTTGTATTTTGTACTACTCCTTCGTGTATTGGGCGGTGGGTATTTCATTTGATACGTATCTATTCAAACGTTTAATTGTACTGTACACATGTTTCAAGTATGTACACATGTACAGGTACTTATAATTATTTCTATACATGTGTATATTACTGTTGTACAGACAAACATACAAACTTACACATACACGTGTGCACTAGATAGTGTGTTTCAAGTCCAAACAACTTCGCATACATCATGAAAGTATGTAGTTTTCAGTATGTAGTATTCAGCGTGCAAACATCGTTGAAAACCTCGCAGAGCAAAATGTAAAAATACGCGAAGGGTTCTATTTTTCGGAAGCAATCAATTGAGAAAGCATAGAAAGAGAAAGGAGGTTGGAAGTGCCGCTAATTCACGTTATCAGAACATCTCACACAATCATCACAATGTCATTAAAATTTTTACATCATCATTACATCATCATAATATCTCAACATCGTCCCATCACACATTATCACATTTTCACTTAGCCACTTGATCACACTTTCATCATACCATCACATTGCTCATTGCTACACCTTACCACACACACACACAAACACACACACACACGCACGCACACGCACATACACATTTGGCGCGCACAGCTTTGCTATTACTTTGGCGCGCATAAACAAAGATTGATGTAGGTGTATGTAGGGAAAATAAAACTTTGTGGGAGCAAGCAATACATGTAAATCATGCAAAACGAAAATGGTCAGTCACTTTGGAAGGAAGGCTCGTAGATCATTTTCATGATGTCTCGCCTGTCAGTCAAGTTTAGATTTGAAGGAACAGTCAATGCCTTTGAGTATGGAAAAAAATATTTCTAAATAATTTTATAAATGAAGCCTGAAATATAAAGTCACGCTCGTGTACCTACGTACCATTAAAATTTAACATTCACAGTTTTTATCGACCAGGTTTGCAAGTCAATTTCTAAAGTTTTTAAAATTATAAATATAACTGTTTGTCACTTGACGTACCTTTACATAGTTGGCGTACACAAATTTAGTGTAGAAATAATTAGTACACAACTGCACATGCATACATGCATACATACATACATACATACATACATACATACATACATACATACATACATACATACATACATACATACATACATACATACATACATACATACATACATACATACATACATACATACATACATACATACATACATACATACATATACATACATACATACATACATACATACATACATACATACATACATACATACATACATACATATACATACATACATACATACATACATACATACATACATACATACATACATACTTGTACATACATACATTTGACATTTTTTATTTCATCGAATCAAAACAAAGAAATCAAAGAAATGATATCAATGAAAAGAAACTAGTTGAAAAGTAACTGCGTCAAACTAGTTATTATATGACAAGGTTTATTAATAAATTAATAATACACATACATCTTATATAAATATATACTTATTTGTATTAAAATATATGTTTTTATGTATGTTTATTTACATAAAATCAATACCAACCAGTATGTGTATGTGTGAATATATATATATATATATATATATATATATATATATATATATGTGTGTGTGTGTGTGTGTGTGTGTGCTTGTGTTTGTCTGTGTGTTTGTTTGTTTGTGTGTGTAACACGAAATACATCTGTACTATAGAATTGCATAGAGAACTACAATTCAATTAAATATATTTTTTATAAAATCAAATTAGTGCTGTCGACACACGTATGATTTAATTAATCGTCGCAACATTGTATACATCACATACGTACAACACACATTATGTAAATTTGTATATACATTTTATTCAGTCACCACACATACAGCCCCACGTAGAATACAGATACAAAACACACAAACACGCTTACAATACCGACAGAACATTGTGTACACATACGAAAACAATATAGTATAATAGGTATACTGTACGCAAACAACAAAACAACAGAGTATTAACATACAATACGCAAATAACACACATACAATACGCATACACAGAGCGTACTAACAAGGGTACAAACATGCGTATACACACTTTTTCGAGCACGTGTAACAAGTTGTGCATACTTCCGTGTACGTCACCGCATATTACTAGTCGCTGGTGATTCATCAGACTGATGACATTGACGTTCGGAAGTGTGGCGAGTTGTTGGCGGACTTTCTGCAGCAAACTGACCACGTACTTTGCGTGTAAGGTCTATTGGTTGGTTGGTTGGTTGGTTGATTGATTGTTCGGTTGGTTGATTGGTCGGTTGATTGATTGGTCAGTTGGTTGGCTGGTTGGTTGATTGTTTGGTTGGCTGGCTGGTTGGTTGGTTGGTTGTTTTGTGGTTGGTTGGTTGGTTGGTTTGTCGGTTGGTTGGTCGGTTGGTTGATTGTTTGGTTGGTTGGTTTGTTTGTTGGTTGTTTGATCAGTCGGTTGGTTGGTCGGTTGGTTAGTTTGGTAGATAGTGGAGTTTAATTTTTAGTTGTGGTTTTATGTTGTTGTTGTTATTGAAGCTAAGGCTGTAGTTGGTTGTTGCAGTGGAGTGACGTGTTTCAAGTGTTTCGTTTGATTTTGTTAGAAAAGTTGTTGATGAAAATTGTTGAGATGGTTGTTGTTGGTGCAATGACTGATGCTATTGTGATGAATTTGTCATTTTATTGGTGCTGCTGTTCTGACAAAAAAAGTTCTTCGAAAATTTCAAACTTAAGAAAAATATTAATGATATACATGTATTGGAACAACAGCGGATAACATAACGGTCCAAACATTTCTAAATAATGTATGGTATCAAAAGAATTTTCATTAAATTTTAAAAATCAATAATAAAATAATAATAACTATAATAAAACAATAATAGCAACAGTATAACAACAATCATGGTAATAATAATAATAACAACAACAGAACAAAAATAACAACAATAATAATGGTATTAATAACAACAAAGGTATTTATGACAATAACAACAACAAAAAAATGACATCACAGTCACATGATTCTGATAACAACAACAACGATAATAATAGTAATAACAACAACGACGACAAAATGACGTCACAGTCACCTGGTTCTTCTGTAGGGCGTCCATGGCATGCTCCAGTTGGTTCTTAGTAATCGGGAAGGTGATGTGTGGTCCCTTGTAGGTTTTGGGCACGAAGTATATCGGATTATCAGATTCCTCCTTCGGTTGCAATTCTATAATTTAATTAAGTTTCTAATTAATTAATTGTAATTAATTAAATAACTAATGATTAACCGTGGAGTTTATACCTGTAATTACTTGTAATATTGTGTTATAATTGTTTTTTTTTCAAAGGAATTCTTAAACATTCATTTGTGTACGCTTGCATGTGTACTGCGATGTACGTGAGAGTTTGAATGCTTTTGTGTACAGATGCGCGTGTACTACTTGAAATCATCTTTCATGTGTACATTTTTTAGTACACATGATGGTTTTGTTTTATGCACCTGAATTGAGTGTTGCACAGGTGAGTTGGATGATATAAAAGAAGTATTGTATTGTATTTTTGTATTTCTCTTGCATTTTTGTTTTTTCTATTTATGGTATTTTATTTATATTTATGAATAATTTTTAGATTTAACCTGGTTTTATTTTAGAATTATACAGTTTAGTGCAAAAAACTAAATATATACTTGTGTGGTTTTTTTAAACTGTTGAAAAACGAGAAACATTTGTGTCTTTTAAATACGACTTAAAAAAGTGCAGTATTGTATTATTATACAATATATTGTATAATATAAAAACTTAAGTACAGGCAAGTAACAAAGTGCTAGCAAGAGACGCGCTGGTAAGAGGCATTAGATGAGGTGACGTGTGTGTGGGGATATTGTTAAAGAAGATTGGAGGAAGGGGATATTGATTCAATGTAAAATGTCAAAGGATGCAAGTGGAAAACAGAATTGAGGAAAAACGTTGTTGTATTGTAAATTGTATGAAGAGCATGTAAAATGTGGAAAAAATTGAAATAAAACTTCTCAATTCAGTCAAATACTAGTTGTCATTACTATTAATTAATAAACACTGACAGAGTAAGATTTTATGAAATAAATAAATGAAATGAAACCTCGCGGTGAATTTATTTTTGACTTCATCCTGTTTCCAGCTTTGTAGAATTGTATGAGGTCAGCGTACAAATTGTACAACTGTTTTTGTACAAAGGTTGTACAAAGGTTGTGTTAAAGGTGATCAACAACAAGAGGTTTATATAAACATTTCAAAAATCGTAACAGATTCATGTATATATATGATCAATTGATTAAAATGAATGTTTAAAGTTGAACATCCCCTGAAACTCACAATGGTATCCTTCCCCTCTTCTTCGTACTCCAGCGATTGGAAAACTTGCCAGGAGCACATGTACCGCAGTCTGTGGTAGGCCAACCACCGTCGTATCCATTTCTGTATGACTACAGTTGCGTACAGCACTGTAGAGTATGTGTTTTTGTATGTGTGTTTGTATATTTAAATGTGTGTGTGTGTGTGTGTGTGTGTGATTGTACAAACTTGTAATTATGTGAATTATGTATTCGTATGTGTGTGTGTAATTTTGTGTGAATTTACTTCCGTATGATCACTTTTGTTTGAAACTTTGTATTTGCACGTGTGTATGTGCGTGTGCCATGTGCGTTGTGTGTGGTGTGTATGTGATTATAAATGTCAGTCAGATTTCTCTGCTTATATTCAAATGTAGATATTCAAGATTAATTTTGGGAATTAAATTATAATAAAAAAGATTAATTACGAATTTGAAAATTATAAATTAAATTAAAAAAACTGAGTAATCTAAATACTAATGACGTGTTTAATGAGTTATATTTTGAAGTATGTATGTGTTTGTGTTTGTGTACGTATGCGTGTGTGTGTATGTATGTGTGTGTATATGTGTGTGTGTTTGTGTGTTCGTGTATAATAATTTTTTCGCCCACTTGACATCAATTTATAATTAGATGCCAATACATTAGATGCGCTGAAGTTTTTGTTTTTATAGATGAATGATTCTCAACGGCCCAAACGTTTGCATGTTGTTGTGTGTGTGTGTGTGTTTAGTTGTATGTGTGTGTGTGCGTGTGAATGTTTGTTTTTCATTATTTGTGGTTGTTGTGTATTAACGTTCGTGATTGTAACGTTTAATCTGCTAATGGTGTTGGTGTTGTTTACGGTATGGTATTGTTGTTGGGTGGATGTTGTTTATGTTGATCTTTCCTGTATGTTATGTTTCTATTGTATGTGTTTGTACGTGTATGTTTATTGTATGTGTTTGTATTGTATGTAGTTTTTGTTATTGATGTACGTATTGTATATGTTTGTAAATATTGTCTGTGTTTGTATGTGCTGTTATGTGTTGTATGGGTAGTTTTGTTTTAACTTTTGTTGCGGGTATTAATGTTGTTAATGTTAATGCTATTGATGTAGTTAATGTAATATTGGATAATGTTATTAATGCCTCTTTTGCTCAATATTTACGTTCATAATTATTGAAATGCTGTCATTATTTTGTTGTTAATGTTTTGTTTATTGTTGATGTTATTGATGTCATGTTGTTGTTGCTGCCGCTTTTTTGGTGTTGTAGTTGCTACAAAATTGATCAACATATTTAAGAATAAACAAAATTAATTTCAAAATGAAATGAAATTTAATAAATAAAAAACAAATAATAATTGCTTAATGGCAGTCATTACTTTCGGAATAATTTTGCGGTTTAGTTGGTTCTTTTTTGAAGAGTTTTAATTTTTTGGTCATTTTGTTGTTGCTGCACTCTGTGTCGTTGTTGTTGTTGTTTTTGTATTTGTGTGTGGCGTTGTTTCTGTTGGAAACTAATGTTGATGATTTACAGCCCATCCTGATGTGGAATCTGTTGTTGTTTGTTGATGTTGATGTTGTTGTTGTTAATGTTCTTGCTTGTTGATGTTGTTTGTTTATGTTGTATGTTTATGTTGTTTGTTGATGTTGGTGTCTGTTGGTGTCTGTTGATGTTT